CCCCCAACACACACACACTGTGACCTGTTCGGTAATTTTACTGGTCAGATTTTTTTTAACCTGGATTTATTGAGTCACGAGGACCCACCCCCCAAAAGAGACATGTATTGGACAGCTATGTGACCGCCCAGGTGTGAGGAGGCTAAAAGTTTTGGCGGAATGAAGCTCGTTAGCCCGTCAAAAAAAAAAAAAAATTCCATGCAGCTGCAGCATTGTAAAAGCTGCCAGGTTCAAAGCAAGTAAAAAAATGTCAAATTCAAAAATATTTTATTAATCCCAAAGGGAAATTATTTGTTGTTGTAACTCATTATCCACATTTCATTAAGAAATGTTATAGATGCTGATGGCTGTAAACAGGAAGGATCTCTTGTAAAGGTCCATCCCACAGTGGGTCCTAAGAAACTGGCTGCAGATGCTGTCCGATCCATCCTTCCAGACTCGGCTGGCCTCTTGATTCCCCCGGGCTGTAGGACCGCCCGAATGCCGGGCAGAACTCCTCCTAGAGCGATGGCCACTCCTCCCAGCAGTCTGCCAAGCTCCTCGTCACTGCGGACAGCCAACTGTAGGTGCTGAGGGACGATCCTGTCCTTCCGCTGTCATGACCCATGTTTCCTGCTAGTTCCAGGATCTCAGTGATCAGGCACTCAAGCACAGCTGGTAGGTAGATGAGAATGCATCCGCAGAACATCCTTTTCAGCTCATTTGAGATTTGGGGCTGTAGTTGAGATATTATTTGAGCTTTTGAGATGTTAATCAGCTACTGTTGGTTGTGGAAAACTGCCTTGTTGCCATGGTTACGCATCATAACAAATGTCTTAAACTAAAAAAGTTTCAGTAAAAATGCATCCAGCTGCACAGCATCCGATACCAGAGGAAACCATCGTACAAAAAATGTGATTTACATCCAGAAAAGGAGGAATTAAAGTTTCCAAAAGCAAAATGTCAGAATGAAAGTAACAGAGCTGCTCCAACATGCAGCCACCTTGAGCGGCACAATTCTAGAACATTTCCACAAAAAGTAGCAGCTTATAGTTTATAGTCCAGAAATTAAAGTTCTAAGCAACTAGGAGCATCATGATTGCCTTGACACTTAAGGAGGTTTTCCCAGTTTGCAAAAACACTCCAGGAAAAATGTCAAGATAGCAACACCTTAGCCTCAACAAGTGGACAGGGGCCTAATATTGGGGCCATGCATGTACATCCTGTGGAGTAAGTATGAGCTAAACATACATGTAGACAAAATAAAGGCAAACTTTGTTGCCAGTAGGGTTAAACTAGTTCATACCATTCAACATCTTAAATAATAAGGAACAGAAGTTATCCATATGAGACATACAGTACATATCTTTAGACATATTTCAGGGAGTTTTTCCTAGAATAATAACCTACACACTTTAGGAAGTTTATTTCAGACATATTGTTTATTTACATCCATAACCCAGTAAATCTGGTATGACCTAGATGTCCCAGCTCCACCAATTTTGAGTGCAACATTTCATTTGTAAATCAGGAGCATGGAGAAAGTCTCTCACACAGGCCAGCTGATCTGTGTGCTCATGTTGACCGATACATTTGGAGCAGGCAATTTGTACAAGTGCATCAGTTTGTATGTGTAGCATTTTTATACCTGTGCAGGAAAAGATGTGCACATTTAAAAAACTGTCCATGCATGTTTGAATCTTGCTCATATACAAATATTGTGCACTTTTGTGAATCTGTTTGAGACCAATGTATCTTCATATCTAAGGACTGGAATATATTGTGTAGCTTCAACATGATCACAGGTTCATGTTAGTTTTGAATCGCAGTTGCTTAAAACCTTATTATTAAACTTACTCTTCCCTTCTGTTGGTATCAGATACTTTACAGTCTTCCAAGAAAATGGCTAATTAGGCCAATCAAAAGTGATATTTAGTTATAAAACTCACACATGATAGCAGGTAATTGTCTATTGGTATGCAAATAAAGCTTAATGAGTTGCTAATCACTGACACATTGTATTTGGGTTTCACAAAGGCTGACAGTTAATATGTTTATCTGCTGGTGTTATCAAGAAAAAGAAGCAATTTATTGAAATTGTCATGAACAAAGAATGAAAACACAAAACAAGTGTGTGCTTTACTGTAAGCAAGATGTTACAGCGATAATAGAACATTCTCCTGCTTTTGTTTGGGATTTTCAGGTCGAGTCTTTCCTGCCTTATGAGTACACTTGTGAAGGGATGCTGGAGAGAGGACATGCCTACGTACAGAATCAGGTAAGTCCACATCACTGCACGTACAAAGCACTAAACAAAGCAGAGATGTAAAAAATTATCTCCTTTTTAGGCCATTACCTCATACATTTAGGCTTTTCAGAAGCACTCCATCGACCTGCTGTGCTTCATGATTCCACTCTCAGATACAGCGTAATTTATTTGGTGAACTCCACGTACATTAGCTCAAAGTGATATACATGCTTACTCTCATAATGAGCCACATTTCTGCTCTCTGGCTCCAAAGCAAAGAGTCCTCTGACACTAATGAGGAGGGTTGAGCAACTAGAAGTGGAGGATGATGATAATTATGATAATAGAGGATAATTTCTTCCCTTTTTTTACAGTCAGACAGGAGAATCCTAACAGTTTTTGTTCACTACAGCCCAACATCTGGTATGGACACAGAATGCAAGAATGGATACATTTCACTTACATTTTTGTTCATATTAGATGTCGAGGGGGAACCAGTCAGTTGTTAATAGTGACATAATTTTGTGAAATTTTGTCTCATCTACAAATGAGGCTTATTGTTGTGGTTCACTGGTCTCTGCCACTGAAGCATGTTTTAATGAATGCGTCTGTTTGTACACGTTGTAGACTGTCTTGACCTCTAATGCTCAGATATGCCTTTATTTGCTGCACAAACAAGCATGTTTCCTCAGATCTGACAGATTCTTGTACCTTTTGGTGGAAATTGGTTACTTACAACACCTGCTGCTGCATTAGTCTGAAAATATAAAAAGTATACATCTTCACTGATCAGAATATGAATGAATGTAAAATTACAACAAGTACTACTGCTGCCTCACAGCAAGTAGGTCCTGTATTCAAAAAAAGTTCAATCTGGTCCTCTGGACATTCAAAAAAAAAAAGCAAAAAAATGTTTACATTACATTGTTTTTTGCTTTGTATTATTTTTTTATTTTTTTTAATGGCCAGAGGACCAGATTGAACTTTTTTGGATTTTTCTACCTGGATTATTGAGCATACATCAGGATAGGTCCTGTATTGAAATTTCACCTGGAGCCATCCTGCATGGAGATTTTATCTTTTCTCCATTTTTTTAATACTTTACCCCAGTTTCCTCCCATAGTGCTAAAACATACTTATGTATACAACGTTTTGGTAGTTTTCAATATAACATGTGTGTCACCTCGATTCATTTTAATTCAGTTTATTTATATAGTGCCAATTCACAGCAGAAACATTCACAAACATAGAAAAAACAATTAGTAAAGTTTATCTAAAAAAGTTAAATCTGGTTCTCTGGACATTCAAGTAAAATGTTGGACTTCCTGAGATTTAATTTTAACCCAGGTGTTGTCAACATACCTGAACCAATGACTTGGTGGTGTCCCTGAAACATTTTACTGACCACATCAACTCTATGGATAAATACATCAAGTTCACACGAGAAGATGAAAAAAATGGCAAGTTGGCTTTCTTGGACTGTGAGGTCTCAGTCTCTGATAGAGGACATTTGCAAACTGAGGTGTACCGCAAACCCACCCACACAGACCAGTATTTGCAGTTTGACTCCCATCACCCTTTGGAGCACAAGTTAGGAGTCATCAGGACTCTGTATCACAGAGCAGACAGCATCCCCACTAGCTCAGGAGCCAGGCAGAAGGAGAAATCCCACACAAGACAGGCTCTAGAGCAATGTGGATATCCTAACTGGGCCTTCCTAAAAGCAGAGAAGAAACCCAAACAGGACTCCAGTCAGCCAACAGGTGAAAAGGAAGAACCCAGACCCAGACCAGTGGTCATTCCATATGTTGAGGGAGTATCAGAGAAACTGAGACGTTTATTTTCTAAACATAACGTCCCAGTGGCTTTTAAACCCCAAAATACATTACGGCAAAGACTGGTTCATCCCAAATATCCAGTCCCCCGGCACAAACAGAGTAATGTTGTGTATGCTGTTCAGTGTCAGGAGGGCTGTGATCAGTCTTACATCGGGGAAACAAAACAGCCACTGGCCGAAAGGATGGCCCAGCACAGAAGATCAACATCATCAGGCCAGGACTCTGCGGTCTACACTCATCTCCAGGCCAGCGGTCACTCTTTCAGGGATGAAGATGTGCACATCCTGGATAAAGAGGAACGATGGTTTGAGAGAGGAGTAAAGGAGGCCATCTTTGTAAAAAGAAACCGTCCATCGTTAAACAGGGGTGGAGGCCTACGTGTTCAATTGTCCCCCTCTTACAATGCTGTGATTGCTAGTATCACCCAGCCCTCTGTGAATAGTAAACAGCCATCAGTGTGCTAATGATCCATTGTTAGGCTGATGGTCCTTCTTGAGCATGTGATCAGCTGGTTTTGGTTGTCAGCAGCAAAACTGGTTGATCCACTCTGAGAAGGTGCTATTTAAGAGACTGAGCTGAATACAGCACCTCAGACTGAAGAAGTCTCTCGGACGAGAGACAAAACGTTTCTACATTTTTTTGTTGATTTGCTTTGTTTTGGGTTTTTTTGAATGTCCAGAGGACCAGATTTAACTTTTTTTAGATTTTTCTACCTGGATTATTGAGCATGCATCAGGATAATTAGTAAAGTTCTCCATCTAAGGAAGCAGCAGACTCGTCGAATCTTCACTTCACCTCGATGTGGGTGGGATTCTCATTGTGTGGCCTTCTGAAACTTTTGCAATGGTATTTTTATTGAAACCATGCACAACACAGCAATTAGCAAATAAATGAAATAAAGTAAAAGCACATAAAGATCAAGTGTTATGTGTTGTCATCATTGTATGTTCCTGTATAATGATGAAATTAGTCTCTGCATTTACAAAACCCATCACACGTAAGATACACCCAGGTGGAACAGCGGGCAGCTATGTGAGCGCCCAGGGAGCCGTTAGGGATTAGGTGTCTTGCTCAAGGACACCACAACATGTAGGTATGGCGGGAAGTTGAACCTACAACTGTCTGGTCCCAAGTCGGTTGACCTACCTCTACACTACAGCGGCGCTTCAGAGCGTACAGCACCTGATATTCCCAGGTGGTCTCCCATCCAAGTACAGCTAACCATTCCCGACCCTGCTTAGCTTCAGAGAGCAGATGAGTTCAGCCATGTTCCGTGTGTTATAGCCGTAAACATACTATCTTCCACGGTTTCTAAAACCAGGTGGTATTTGGAACCCATAAATCGAGGCCATTCGGTCTAGCACATTCTGAATTCTGCTGTCAGCTTACATCATCAGAAATATCTGCACCTCCTCATAGTGCCACAGTGTTGGGTTACATGTTATGTTATGTTACATTTAATGGATATAATGTGAATTTTTTGAAAGCAAACGCTGTGGTCTGTTGATGTCAAATCTTCAGCTCAACTACTGCATTCTTGTACCCTCACTTTTGAGTGGATCCTAAGAACTGTGCTGGAAGCAGGTGGGGTCACACAATGGAAAGACCCTGAAGCCACATCAGGTCGATCAAAGTCGGGCTAAGTTGAGTCCAAGGAAAAAGATCATATGCAACCTTATGTTGGACCAATAACCTGTTCAGGGTGTGCCTTACCTCTCATTTGTTGACTCCTGAAGATAGCCACCATAGCCCTCCCCATAACTGTGAAGAGAGCGAAGTGGTTGTATAAAATATGTGAATGTGCAAGTGCATTTCTATACAAATTTAATCTCTTTTATTCACCGCTGAAAATGGAAAAGAACAGTTGCACCTAATAAAAGTGTGTGCTGTGGATACCTTCATGTTTGTTGAGTTGGGACAAATATTAATATCAAATATTTCAAATATTTCAAGCAAAAATACTAACCCTGAACCTATTTAGTAGAAAAATCCTATTAGAATCAATACCCTGCCTGAGGGTGTCTTTTGCCGAGGTCTGAAACTGTTACTGATGCCCACCTCCCCGTGCTTGTGTTGTCTTGTGATATGAATTTATGTAATATGATATAGGGTGGTAAAATGCAAGTCGTAAATCAAGATGATCATAACTGGATAAAGAAAATGTGCTGTTAGGACAAATCTGTTTAATTCTGCTTGCAACAAAAACAAACGACTCACTAAGTGATGCTCTCCTTGTACCACAGTAAAACCTCTGCTGAAACTACATATATGTACCCTTCTGCAGGATTTCTGTGTGCCAGAGTCTCCTTTCATTCCAACCAACTTCTCCAGACAAGGATCTGCAACTGGCCGCAAGATGACTGGACCTTTGTTTGTGCCGCTTCCCACATCTACAGCCCTCGGCTGGACATCCAACGTGACAGCTCCCACTGCCTGGCCTCCTCTCAGCTCCCTTAGGTTGCTCGTGTCTCAGGAGGGCCAGTCCTGTGTGGAAGCCTGCTACTCAGCTGGTTTCATCTGTGAACCTGCTCACTTCCGCTTCATCAATAACAAGGAGGCTATGCGGGGGTAGGTCAGACAGAAGTTTGTTAAAGTATTATTATGAAGCTGGATACAGACGTAATGTATGCAAGCAATGACACTCCATTTCCAGAAGGATCTGAGTTAATGTTGTGGCTAGAAGCTCTTCCACACCATGGCTGCTCTTCCAGGTTGAGCTACTGTGGCAAATACAAAATGGAGAGCAGTCAGGTTGCTTTTGTTAACTCTTTAAACCTCACTTGATAATGAGATTCTCTCATTAGTCTTAAGTTTATTTTATTTAGAGAGCAGTTCAGAATCCAATGGCCTGAAATGCTGCTGGTGTTTGATTCTCCCTCTCAAACACCTTTACTTTAACGTCAACGGTTTCTTTGCTTTCCTAAATCCATGTCAGACATTTACAAATCCACCTAGTGTTGCTATGATTTACTGAGACAGACAACTGTAGGAAAATAACTTCACATTGTCACTTATTTACCTATCTGATACTACAGAAAATATATATGATTTCCAGCAGGTGCCCATAGATTAGTTGGTCATGTAAAAAATATTTATAAAGAATATTTCAACTTTAAAATGTCTAAGATATATTTTATATACAACCTAATAAAATCTATGTAGCAATGACCCAACAATAATGGCACACAGTGTCATGTTATGCACTCTCTGACTGCATGACCACGATATCAGGATGTGCTTGTGACACTTTCATGTGTAATAGTTGTGTTTGATGCAGATGAACAACACAAAGCTCTTGTACAGTATTAACATCACTCTTAAAAACAAACCACCACCAGAAAAAACAGGAGTGTTACTCCATGGCAATATTACTCACTCCATGCTCACACTGCAATTATCCTGGAACTTCCTCAACCTTCAATCCAGTACATTCTAATTATAGAAGAACACAATGAATGTTACACAGCCATCATACTGTATACTGCACATAACAAGACTTCTTACAATGTATACTTAGTTTCTTCACATTTTTACTCACCAATAGGGATAATGAAAATGGAAGAACAGACTTGGCAAGTAATGAAGAATTATAACATTAGACTTAGGGTAGTTTGAGTAAAGACATATCAAGTCAAGTCAAGTCAGATTTATTTATAGAGCACATTTAAAACAGAAACTGTTACCAAAGTGCTTAACAAAAATATCACAACATCAAATAAAAAGTAACAAGATATATTTACAGCACATGGAATAAAAATATAAAACAGAAAACATAATTAGAAACAATGAAATAGTAAATCAGATCACCTTTTGTCAAAAGTCAAGGACTAATAACAAAAAGCATAAACTCAGTCAGAAACAATGAAATAGTAAATCAGATCTGATGGCCTTGTGTTGAATAGGAATAATTACAAAAGCATAAACAGAAACAGAATCAATAAAATTCTAAATCTAAATCTGATCGCCCTGTGTTAAATATCAGTATATGTGAGTATAGGTGTGATTTTAGGAGAGTTTTAAAAGTGGAGACTGAGGTGGCCTGTCGAATGTTGATGGGCAGATTGTTCCAGAGCTTAGGGCCTTTGACTGAAAACACTCGATCTCCTCTGAGCTTCAGCCTGATTTTTGGTACCACCAAAAGCAACTGGTCTGATGATCTCAAAGCCCAAGCCCATATGATGA